GCCTTCCGTGAACTAAAGAAATTATATCCTTGACTACCTAATAGATCTTCAAAAGCATCTCCACTTGATTTATTCGTTTTATTGCCTGAGACAGTATTATCAGAAGTATTGGTCTCATTAATTGTATTTCTGTGCGTATTAGGACTCGAATGGATTGGTGTGCTAGCAGGAGCAGGACTAGTTGATTGTGGAGTATTAGAATTTTTTGGTGTTCCATTCCAGCTAGAGGTTAGTCCAGCTCCCAAAGAGCTGGCGAGATTTGTGAAGGGATCTTTATTTTGAGCTGCAAAATTCGGAACGCTCGAATTTCTTGGAAAGTTTTCTTCAGGTGGAGGTTTTGCATTATTTGATTTAGTGTTTCCTAATAGATTGTTCACAGTGCCTTTACCAAGTGGATCAAATAAATCTTCAAGATTTTGCTTTGTAATAGGCTGATTTTGATTGAAGAACAAATCGCTCAGATTATTGTTACTATTATCGTTTCTATTAATAGGCTGATCGTGACCAAAAAATAAGTCATTCTGAACGGGATTGGTAATAGTGGGTACAGTATTATTCGTTCTTGCTGAATAAAATTACCGAATCCTCCTAAGAGATCATTTTCTTTTTGACTAGAATTAGAAAAGATATCTAATTCCGGATTCGCTGCAATTTGTGGAGTATTATTTATGGTACTGGTGCCTGGCATTCCTAAATTTAACAAATCAGCTTCTTGTAACTTGATTTCTTCTTCTTTTTCTATATTTTCTATGGATTGTTGAGGTGCTTCTTGTTGTATACTAACATTGCTTTGTGTTTCAACTGGTGATGGAATTATGGTTTCCTTTTGAGTCTATTATTTTAAATCAAAATAAAATTAAAATATATAATTATATTTATTTTAATAAAATAAAAAATATATAATTGAAATATTAAATATTTTTAAAACCATATACTTACTTCTTCTGGTTTAGCAGTTCTAAAACTTTCTAAAGTTTCTTCCATTTCTAAAGTAGATCCAAATAATGGATCTGGTTCTATTTCTGAATGTAATTCTGCTTCCCAAGGAGCTGGAACTCTAGCCATTTTCGAACTCTCTTCAGACATCGTGATATTTAAAATAACACTGAAATTTCCACCAATTTCAGGTGCATCATCTAAATCCTTTTTCTTGAATGTCAATTCAGATTCAGTATGTGGTATGTAACCCGTATGAAAGTGAACAGAAGCAATTTTAATTCCAATCATACGTCCCAATTGCTGCCTCGCATGGAATATAACTAGAGTAACATCTCCTCTAACTGTAGCATTACCAAGTGCTAATGAAACCTTTCCTTCATCATTCCAAATAATTTTATATCTTCATATTCTGGTCGTTTAGTAGAGAATACTAAAGCTCCATTGCTATAAATATCAATATAAGGTCTACAACCATCTTTTGCCCTAGTAAATAATGGAACTGGTTTAATTACTAAAGAACGAAGAATTAAAGGCTTAGTATGAGGTTGTACACCGGCACTCAGCAGACTCATATAATTAATACTACGTAATTCCGAAGGCTGCAACTGAGGAAGTTGTCGTCTGGTTGTGAACATCGCTATTGCCTCCTTAGGAGTAGTAAACGCTTTAGCATAAATTAACAAAGTACAGGCAATTGTGGCACTGGTTGTGTACCCATCCTAATAAAAGAAAAATATATTATATTTTTTAATACAAATTATACTAATTTAATATGTTGTCTTATATAAGAATATAAGAATATGGAATCTTCGAAAAGAAAAGAAAAATAAAATAAAATAAATAAATAAATGAAATAAAATAAAAAATATAAATTTATATTTTTATATTTTAAAGTTTAATTGTTTCAAAAATAAAAATCTTTCTTTTTCGTTATATTTTGTAATAATTTCAGCAATTTTGTAATTTTTCAATTTTAAATATTTTATACTCTATAATATACTTACATTGCAATATAATACTACAATATGATTAAAATCGGCATTCAAATACCGATAAATATCTTGACATATCTGATATAAGGCTGATAATAATGGAGCATTAGAATCTGAGGAAGCATAGGCAAAAGAACAGTCAATATGTCTACCAGGAAGTCTAGACATATTTGGTCGTCCCCGAGATAAATTATATAATTGTATACGAGCTGGTGGAGGATGTCGAGCTTGTAAAAATGCTTTTACATCCTCTATGTGATTAGCTCTGTAAGCAGATTCTATTCCATCTGCCGGATAGGGCATAATTAATATACGCGACGTTAAGTAACTGGCATCTAATTCAGTTCTGGCCATGCTTTGTTGCATAGAGTACATCATTTTGCTTGAAGTATCCTTTAGATTTCGTAAAATGTTACCAGCACCGCCTTTCAATGAGCTAAATAGGCCTGTTGTTTGAGCTACGGGGACCTTGGCAACAGTCTGAGTCGTTGAGACAGGTTTCGAAAGAGGTACATTTGTTGGAGGAGATGGTCTTGGTGGTGGAGTAGGTGTGCTGGGTGGTTGAGCAGGTCTGGGAGGCGGTGGAGTTTTTATTGGGACTTCCACTTTTGGGGGTTCTCTGGGATCAAAATTGTTCGACTCAGCTATCGCCGCTAAACGCTCCAGAATCATTGATGTAGTCAATCTTCGTACAGGAGATATTTCTAGACATCCTTTTACTATGTCGTGAAGGCAAGTTAAACGAGGATTAGGTGGAAGTGGAGCATATTTCCCATTGACTATTGCAAGCTTGTTACCTATAAATAAAATGAAACGAGATAAGAATTGGTTGCATTATGAACATAGTATAAATTTTATACCTTCAGGAAATGGATGCCTTAATGTTATTAATGAATATATTATACAGCCAAGCGCCCAACAATCAACTGGAGGACCAATAGGCTCATTGTTCCATGTATCCATCATTTCTGGAGCTCGATACATTGGTGTAGTATATTTTGCCATTTGATCCTCTAAAGTAGCTCGTTTCTGAGCATTCCAAGAAGGATTAGGTAAAATCTGCTGATTAGAAGTACTTCCGAAATCGCAAAGTTTAATCAAACCATCACTACCAATAAGAAAATTCTCTAATTTTATATCTCTGTGTACTAGTGGTTCAGGTTGTTGACTGTGCATATGATGCACAGCTCTTGTAGCTTGATAGGCTATTTTACAAATCTGAGCAAGTGTCAGAGCATTAGTAGATAAGTTTCTAAGTGTATCTGCTACTGTACCTCCAGGGCATAATTCTGTTACTAATAAATATTCATATCCTTTATGATCTTCGCGATCTAAACGCTGAGCATAAAGATATTGGATTATGTTTGGATGACCAGATAATTTTTTTAAAGTTTCTATCTCTTGTATAATAATTTTATTAGTATCTTCATCAATTGCTATGAGTCTCTGAAAATATAAGTCCATATTAGAATAACTTTTTTTAAATTTTTTAGAATAATATGAATGTAAATAGATGATTCACCTTAAGTGCATATTCTTTTCCTGTTTTTATATCTTCAACAGCAAATACTAAAGCCCAACCACCTGTTGATATAAATATTTTAATATTATAAATAATAGTAATTATAATAAATAATATTAGATTAAATAAATATAATTTCTAATATTATACAAATATTTGTTTAAATTTTATTATTTTATTGATATCTTTTAAATATCATTATTTAAATGAATTAAAATTCCTTATATGAAATGAAAAAAAATTTTTTTATTGAAAATATACTTTTATTATAATATTCAAATAATAAATTATATATTAAATTTTCAAAAAACAATATCTATAAATATAGATATTTAAATACATTTAGATAATTAATTATCTTTCTTTAACATTAATATAGAGTTCATGTATATAAATTTAGAGTTCAGTATCATAAAGTTTGGTCATATTCGTATTATATAGCTGAATGTCAAAACAGATTTGACACATGTCAAAAGAAGGATAATTCACACTGTTGGCACAATGTCAACCACTCTTTTATATCATCTGAATTACATAAAAAAATAATTTTATTTGATAGTTAGAAACGATCATAACGCAGAAATGTTTTAATTAAAATAAAATTGTTTAGTAATGAGATGTTAGAAGGGTTGACAGACTCACCCTCGGCGAGTAGCTTAGTCACGCGTAATTTCACATTGTTGATTTCCAATATTTGTCCGACGTATTCATTAGTATTCGTGGCTCCATTCAAGTATCCTAAAGCGGATCTTAAGTAATCTGACATATTTCCTTTAAAATATCCCGTCGAACCCCCAAAAAGCGTTTTCGTACGTTACAATGCAGACAGCCGATGCTGTCCGGCCATACTGTCTTTGTGACGTCATCAACAGTACCGTACCAACAATATTTTTATATTTTAATAATTATTATTTTCATTAATATTAATTATTTAAATTAATTAAAAAATTAAGAGGGAAAACTCTATTATGATAATTATGCAAATTTAGGCTAAATTAGATTTATTTAATAATAATAATAAAATTAAATATATATAAATATAAATTGAAATAGTCTATACATTTTTTATTTTTATTATTTATTGAAAAATTTTTGAATTTATGGTTTTTGAAATTATATAATGTTTTTTATATCGGTTGAATATTAAATTAATAGAAATTTGAGATTATTTTGTAACAATAATAACAAAAAAAATGTATTATTATTTTTTATAGATAAAAAATCTAGAGAAAGTTACAATATATAAAAATCTTATTGCTTGATTTTTAAAAGAAGTATAATTCATTACATCGTACAAAAGACGCGCATGCGTAAAGAAAATTTCGCAAATTCATTATCTAAAGCAAAACAAACTATATTTTTTTTTTGATTCTATGAATTTTCTCTTCATGTATTACTAATTCAATTATTGATAATTATAGTAAAATCTATGTTAGTCTGAGATAAACAAATTTAATAATTGTGTTTTATAATTATTATTATTATTATTTCGATATTATATTTTTATTAAATACATAAATATTAAATTATTACATGATTAAATCATTTTCAGAAATTAAAAATGTCGGAATTTGTAAAATTTACAAAACTCAGATCTACTACAGATTGTACATTTTGGGCAAAATTTGTAGAATTGAAGATTGACAAATTCAAATTGGATGAGAAAAGTATCAATTTATGGGGAAGTTATAGTCTTCAATCATTAAATGAAGATAATTTTAATCCATTAGTATTGGATTTCACATCGTTCAATGAGTAAGTTTATATCTGTAACATATACATGTAATTGCTTTAATTGGTTTATCTTAAATAATAGATATATATGTCAGAGTTAATTCTATATAGGTAATTTTTAGAGACTTGGAAACAATAAATAATAAATCATCTGTTATCTGTTTTGGACATATGATTAATACAAATACTTTTGAAGCATTTCGTCAAATTAATCCTGAACAATTTATTGATTCTATGGGAAAAGATATTATAAACAGTATTCAAGATGGAACAATATTACAAAATCCATGGAATTATCATTATTTTTAGTATTAGCTTATTCAGACTTAAAAAAATATAGATTTTATTATTGGGTTGCACATCCTACTCCCTTAAAGTTACCAGAAATGTATTATGAAGAAATTCCAAAATCAATCACAGAAGAATTCTCAGAGAAACATGTTGAAGATTTATGTAATAATTTTTTACATTTGGATTGTAGAACAAAAAATTATTTCACAGTACTAATATCAAAAGAAAATAAAATGTCTATAGTTGACTTAGCAACAGGAATAAATGCTATCAGCATAAATATTGAAAAGCAATCACAGGTAAGATAAACAAATTTTAAATAAAAATATTTTAATATATTTATTATTTACTTATTATTTATTATTTTTTCTAGGATTACACTGAAATTTATTTTGCATTTTATGATCCATGTACAAGTTCGAATCCAGGCTGGCCTTTACGTAATCTTCTATGTCTTTTATGTTGGTATTGTCCTACATATTATTTTTCAAAAATTATTAAATTCATATCCATACGAGGAAATAAGGCACAGAAAAGTCTTGTTTTTAAACTAAAAACTAAAGAATATAAAAATTATAAAAACATAAGAGATAATCTGTTTCTGAGTCATCTAGTGGGTTGGGAGAGCAATTCAAATGATAAATTAGGTCCCACTATAGCTGATTTATCTGATACTATGGATCCAACTAAGTAATTATTTAAAAATAACTTAAATACAAATATTAAAAATGTATCAATTACTTCATTAATATTTTTATTTTCAATTAGGCTATCAGATAAAGCTATTAATTTAAATCTAAAACTAATGAAATGGCGTCTTGTTCCTAATCTAGATCTAGAAAAGATCTGTAATCTTAAATGTCTTTTATTGGGTGCTGGAACTTTGGGTTGCTCTGTAGCAAGAATTCTCTTAGGTTGGGGAGTAAATAACATAATTTTCGTCGATAGTTCTCATGTATCTCATAGTAACACAGTACGTCAAAGTTTATACAATCATCAGGATGCTGTAAAGCATAAATATAAAGCTCATGCAGCCAAAGATGCTCTGCTCAACATTCGACCGAATATAGTAAGTATTATAAATAATTTTTTTTTTTTGAAGTTTCATTATATTAATTTTATTAATAATATAGAATACAGAAGGGATAGTTTTACATATTCCAATGCCCGGACACGTTGTTGGTCAAAGCATGCTGGAATCTACAAAGCAATCTTTGAAAAAATTAGAAGAACTTATTGAAATAAGCGATGTTGTCTTTCTTTTATTGGATTCTCGGGAAGCTAGATGGTTACCTACAGTTCTTTGTGCTGCTAAAAATAAGATTGCTATTAATGCAGCCTTAGGTTTTGATTCTTATACTGTACAAAGACATGGTACTCGAAATTTTAATAATCAAATTTCTCCAGACTTGGAAATTAAAAATCCTCGTGGTATGGATCTTGGTTGTTATTTTTGCAACGACGTAACACAACCGGGAAATGTAAGTTTATGGACTAAGTTTAAAAGATTTATACGAATTTTATTTTTTAATGAAAGCTGTTTTATTTTATAGTCACAAACTGACAGAACATTGGATCAACAATGCACAGTTAGTAGACCAGGTTTATCACAAATAGCTGCAGGATTGGCAGTAGAATTATTAATAGCTCTATTGCAGCATCCTGAAGGGTAAAAAATGAATTTGAATTTAAAGAAATTTTATTAGATATTACTTTATACATATAGTGTATAAGAATAAAAGAATTTATTCAATTGCTTTATCATTAACGTTTAATGATTTATTGTTTTATATTTAATAGTATTGAGGCAGAGGCATTAGTGGGAAACAGCAGAGATAATATCACTTCAAATGACGCAAAACTGGTTGGTTTATTGGGATGTGTACCACATACTATACGCGGATCCCTATGGAATTATGATACCCAATTGACGATTACTCATAGATTTACATCTTGCACGGCCTGCTCTGTGCCTATTATTATTGAATATAAAAATCGAGGTTTATCTTTTGTTCTGGATGCGTGTAATATACCAAATTATTTAGAAAAGTTGTCAGGTTTAGAAGAGATACTTAAACGACCCGATTTGGATGAGGTATCTTAATTCTATAAACTTTATTAATTTTGATATAATTAGTTTGTTAATTTTTTAAAATATATTTAATTGTAGCTTTGCTATGCATTGGATAATATAAGTGATGAAGACGAAGATGATCAAAAAATGTGATAAATATTATTATATTATAGAATTAGAGATTTCATGCTCATTTAAATAAGCATAATCATCGAAGAAAAGGAAATTATGGATTCATCTTCCTCATTTTTTTTTTTCGGTTCCTACAATACTTTAAATTTTTTTTCTTGACGAAAATGTATTTGACATATGTAATATAATACTTAAAAAATTCAATTTTATCGTGAAAGAAATATTGAAAATTTATCGTGGAATATATTTCAAGACTATATGAATCTAATATTCATTCTCAATTTTTTCATCAATTTTATTTATTTTACTTCAAATTTTTTTATTATAATATTGACATTTGACAGAGATTATTTACGTCAAAATATATTATAAACTTAGAATTCTATTATTGGTATAATTTTTGTATAGAGATTTTATATGAAAATCAAAATAACATATATATAGAGATTATGTCTCTTGTTTTTAATTATAAATATCGTCAAATAAAATAAATTTTTTGAAAAAACAAATAAAATATTCTATTCAAAATTTTCCTATATAATTGTTTATATAATTAATTTTCCTAAAAAAATTGTTTATATAATTAAATTAAAATTATCGTATAATTATTTCCTAATAATTTTTCATTTAAAGATTAATGTTATTAAAAAAAAAAATTAAGAGGAATTTTCTTGATAAAATTTTATATATCAACATTATGTGAAATGCAGATATAATTGTTAGAGGGAAAACAGGGAATTTTTCAATTATATTTATATGAATATTGTGACGCGCTTGCGTCTTTGACAATTTTGCCGATAGAGCGCGTTGTGACGAATGAATGCCTAACATTCCAACGTAATGTTTAAGTAGTGGGGAATCGAGGCTGGCTCTCGTGTGTCAAACAGCCTGTGTTCCGTGTGTGTTCGATCGCATACCATTAGATTTTCCATCGTTTTCAATGAAAATACGTACTGTACATTAGTTCGACGTGTCAGCGGACATTGTGCCGGATGTTTGATTCTATATTCATTGGCTTGTCATAGCAAAACCAACGGTGAGTTATCATGAAAATGGGGGGAGAACCACCTTAAGTTCGATTTACCTCGAGGAATGCGTGGCTTGTTTCTTTTTTTCTTCATGCTACGTCGCATTCTTCTATCGATTCCTGCTTCAAAGCGGGTGGAGAGGTGAAGAAGAACGTTTCGTTTGCTTAGTCGGTAAAAAAGTATTAAAATTGTTATCGATCATCTACTTTCTATTAAGAATAATTTAAAAAATTTTTTTATCGGACAATTTCGAAGAACCATTTGTTATTGCTTTAAAATTTTATAATTTATAATATGCATGTGCTTTTGTATGTATATTTATTGTTACACTATATTAAAATTCGCGTGTCCGGCGTTTCATTGATTCATCTTTTTCAATGAATTTTATTTATCAAAAGATAAGTATTTAACAACTCTTCTGACTTGTTATAATAATTGAATAATTATTAATTTTTCAAATTTTTTTGTAATTTACTTCTTAGTAATAATTTAAAAATTTGATGTAGAAAAAATGAGAAATAATTAAAAAGATACATTTCAAGAATTATATAAATATTCGAGAAAATTTTCTGAGATAGGAATAAAGCTTTGAAATTATGAAAACTGGCTATTTTTTATTTGAATTACAACTCAATATTAATTATTTTTTCAATTCATATATCTCATTAAAAAAAAATTTCAATGTTATTACTGTTTATGTTAATATTTACTTATTCCTAATGAAAACATAAAAAATGGAATAATTAAAAAAAAAAACTATTTAAAAGCCATCATTTATGTTCTTAGAAATGAAATTATGATGCCGGTTGCATGGAAGTTTGGAAAGAGAGCAGAGGGCACAATACAGGGCAAGAAGAGGAACAATGTAGTAATGGCTTCGAGAGTGCTTTCGAAATTTATATATATTGTTCAAATTTTTACAACATATGAATGCTTATCAATAAATTATCATTGATTATATTTTTAATGTTTGTCCTTTCATCAAAGATTTTAATTTAAATTTTATTTTAGTATACCAAATATTTTTTATCGATCTTTATATTTCATAAAGATATTTTATGATAAAGACCAAAAATAGATTTCAGATTTAAAGGCCATTATTAATTTAGATAATTAATTACATCAAATCATATTTAGATAATTGTTTAAAAAAAATTACATTTTGATTTCACAGTATTAAATAACAATAAAGATAAGAATCAATGATTAAACATCGCTGTCCTGTATGTGCCAAAACATTTGAAAACCAAAACATTTATTCATTATTAATTAATGATAAATGGAAAAATGAAAAAATATAAAAAGGAGGGAAAATTTAGATAAAAACAATTCGAAGCCATTACTTCGACATATTAACAGTGGGAGGAGTGGGATCGAGTGGATACGCGTGGGGACTCGCGAAGCGACGTAGGGTGGGCTATATGCGGGGCTACGGAGGACGCGGGCGGCAGATCTCTGGTGAGGGGTCCGCATTCCACAGACAATGTCACGTTTTTTAATCCTCGTTTTACTTTATTTGTGCTTGCTTCGGTCGCGAGGAAGGTCCCCAAACAGTTAACTTCGACTTCTGTCCCCAGAAAGCAGAGATCCTTGTGACGGTGTCGGACTCGTCAGCGCTCCATCGCGGGAATTTCAACCCGTGTTGAACACCTGCTGCATCCCTAACAGAAAGTATCTGCCTAATCGTGAATAAGTGAAGTTGGTTTTTAAATTAAAATTCAAAGGGGTGAAATTGGTGGAATCAAGGATATCTTTTGAGAATTTTGGAAGGAAGAGAAGAGATGTCTGCCGTCGAGAGCGCCTTGGATGTCCTCTCCAGGGCGGCCACTATGGTGCAAGGTCAGTTTGCCTCGTGACTTATATTTTCAACGGAGTTGGAGATTGTTCGTGATTATTGGATGATCAAGGTTCTAGTGGGTTGGGATTAAGCTGGAATCTATATGGTAGAATATTTTTTAGTTTAATATATATCAGTAATGACAAACTTATTAAAGCCAGTTTCTATTTTAAAATAAGATTACCTAAAATTGAAAGCATTATAATCAGTGTACAGACTACAACAAAAAATATAATAGTAGTAAAATCCATAGTAATAAAAAAATTAATTTAATACACTTTGAATTTCTTAGATTTTTATAACAAAATATAAAGGTATAAAAGTACAAATCCTAAAATGAAAATTATAAAAGTAAAATTAAAATTACAAGAGATGAAACAAGAATATAAATTGTATTATTGATTATGTTTTTTAGTACTCTGTAAGAAAAGTTGTATCAATTTCTATTTTCTTATTTTATAATTTTATACTATAGAAAAAGTAGAAAGTCATAATTAATTCTTAAATTCCATTTCTATGAAATCTAAAATCAAATTGTTTGCAGATATCTAGTTTACCAATATATATATATATACTCCAAAGTTTCATCTAAAAACAATCCATTTTCTTCCTAAAAATTCCTGAATCCACAAGAAGACGATTAAAAAATCGCATTTCCATAATTAATTGAAAAACATAAATTACGGTCTGTCGAACCGATTGATGGAATCTATCCAATAGGATTGTTCGTGATTTATGTAAGAAGAGAGGCTAATACGAGCACGCATTCCTGTGAAATGCCAATTTCGCGTTGAATTAGATAACATTGTGCGGCGTTTATTTTAGATTCGTCGCGTTTGCAGCTTCTCTGACGAGTTTCTTAGTAAAAGCCTCAAATGAATTTCCTGTGACGTTTAAATTCAATTAAAAAAATCTTCATTCTACATAATTTAATATATTTGATAATAATATTTGATAATTGAATTGTGAATTTTTTGTTGAGAAAAATCAATCTAGTATTCTGTATTTTTAAAATCGCTTTTCACAGTGTTATGAAATATTTGTTAGCTAAAGTATGTTTTTTTGACAATGTTATGTGTAATTGAATGTAAACAATCATTTTTTTCATATTCGAATTGTTGAATCATTTTATTATATTGCTACAATAAAGTTCATTTTAGTATTTTATTAATGAAAAATCGATAAATTTAATTATTTCTGAAATATATTTTAGGTGATTTAAATTATGCAAAAGAAGGAAATGGAAGTGCGAAGCTACGTTTTTTAATGGAAATTGAGTCTGAAATTTTTTCTTTCTTATTTCAAAGATTTACAAATATTTACAATATTTCAAAATAAGGCAAAAAGGAATATTTATAATATTTCATAAGAAGGCGAAAAGAAATAATTATTTAAAAATTGAAATCAATTTTTTATTTTTATCTTTTATAAAAAGGATTATTTGAGAACTTATGAATCGTAAATTTTATATTATTTATAATATAAATAAAAAAAAATTGATTTAAATGACATAGTGAAAAATTTGTATGGTCAGAAAAAATTACAGCTGTAAAGTATGACGTATTAGAGAAAAGGTTCCACTTTCGAGGGCAATTGAGAGCGCAATGACAACGCATCCGCGACGATGATTTTCATAAATCATCGAATTGCTATTGGAGCGAACAGTGGAGCGTAACAAGCCCCGATTCTCGGGAGTATGACTGGTTCCTCTTGTATGTGGTTTGTTGTGATGGAATGCTGTGCCTCGAACCTGTTCCGAATACCAGACGTAGTTACATCTACTTGCGAATGATGGCGCGTTCTGTGACTTTCTCGAGAGCCAAAAATACATTTTCCCAGTCGGTTTCACTAGTTATCGACATAGTCTTAATATTCTATTGCAATATCACAGGGTAAATAGTTTGATTAATTTAATTTTTTAATGTAGTCATAAATATTGAAAAGAATTCTAGATTCAAAATATTTATTTTGAATGTGATTAAAAGAGATTTAAACAGTATGTAATTTAAAGCATAGAAATTTCGATACTTTCAAAATTTTAAAGAATCATGGGGAAAAAGATTATTATTTAAAAAAAAGGGAAGTATTATTTAGATTCTATATCAATTCTATATCAAAAAATAGAATATACACGTTTTAATCTACATTTAAAAATATTGAGTTTTAATATGTGTGGTTCACAGATTTCTTTTTAATTCAGCAGATTCCATAAGGTGTGAATTACGCTCGTCTTGCAGGAATATCGAATGCATATTTCAATTAAATTCAGTTTTTGAAGCATGAGGAAGAAATATAGGGATATGTGTTTGAAATGTGCTGAAATATTCGATGAATTTACACCCACAAAGCCGCAATTCGCATATACACAACGTCTGATAACCATACGCGATTACCTGGTTGTGTTGCTATTAAAATGCCCGGCATTCCTGTTCGATGCCTCACGATTCCTCGAGGATAACTTGCCACCTTGATCTTGCTTAGGAATTACGTAGTTACAATAATATAGAATCTTATAGATTGATCTTCAAATAGATAGATTTTCTTAAATATCATTTATTTACTATCGCTAATCTTATTTTTTATTTTCTTATTAAAAGACAAAATATTTTCAAGAATGATATTATCATTATTCTTAATCTAATAATAATGATACGATTTAATTGAAATTACCTGGAAGTTCTCTTATTTCTCTTATTTCTCTTATCTCATTTGAGTTATGATTCTTCTTTTTCATTTTTATATTTATATTTCTTTTTAATTTTTTTTTTTTATTAAATTTTTAAGAGAAATAATTTTTATGGATAGATATATAAAATCTGTAAAATAATATTTATGAATATAAATATTTTTCTAGATTATCATCGAATATATTATTCAGTTTTTCTAATCTTCTTTAACAGGTATTTTATTAATATATAATAATCATTGTAAACAAAAAGTGAATATATATTTTGTTTTAAAAATTAAAATAATGTATTCAAGATATAATAATTCTTCAAACTACGTGATAGTATTTGAATTCAAATATATACTTTCCGTAGAATTGGAAAGAATCTGAGGATTCTTATCAGGTGAATTTTTTACGTGAGCGTGACAGCGTGGACGTAGTGTGCACGTGTACTGAACGCCATGTGCATCGATCGCTTACTTACCTGCTACAGAAAAAAAAGAAAAAGAGGAAGAAGATAGAAGAAAGAAACGAATTAGTTGGCCGAAGATGCTTATATCCTTTACACTCACACTGTTGGAGCCAAACAGTGATGGGTTTGAATCGTTTTATAGCTACAACAAAAATTACATATTGTTCAAATATAGAAATATTAAACCATTATAATTTTTTAATCTTCTAAAATATTATAATCAATTCTCATAACATTTCTAATCTAAAAATTATTTTTTAATTTAAATTTTGAAAGATTTTTATTTAGGAATCTTCAAATAATCCTGTCTTCAAGCCAATGCTAATATCAGAATTCTATAATAGAAGTTCTTTCCAGAAAATTTCAGAAAGTAGCAATCTACATTCACATATATTCTGATCAAATTTGTTCAAGGATTATTGATAAAATCAAGCCATCGCTATATCAAAGCGTGCAAACCGTATGCATGTGTAAAAGGCAAGCTTCACCAACTGTATGTGGAGGGGGCAGACGACGGGACGAGGCGGATGAATGAATGAATCTTAAGACAGTCGTGTAAGAGGGGCATTCACGAATCCACGTATCTTTGACTCTGTCTATTTTTCCAGAAACCTCGTATCCAATGTCCTCAACTATTTTATATCCTTCAACGTGCTAATTTTAACAATCTGGTGATCATTCAACATAGGATTATAGTTCTAAAAGCCAATGATTTTGGTTTCTTGTCGATTACCAGTCGAATTCATCGATAGATCGCGTCTTACCGCTTTCTTCGAGTTCTCCTCGGGGCAACCAGGACATCATGGAAGCTGCTTTCTTCGGTGAAAAGAAGATTCTTCCGTGAAAAGGATATTTCACATATTTTGTTCTCTGAAGTCAATTTTATAAGAAAAAGAAAAAGTTCGATACGAAAAAGTGGATTATTCTGTGTATTTTTAATAATTTAATGGGAACTAGCTAATGGCTCATAGTGTTCTCTTATCCTTGAAATTGTTTTTATCATTTATTAAGAAATAAGAGAGGAAAAAATCATTGATTTATGATTATTCGTGATGATTATAAGTTGAGTTCATGATATCTGAGGATTTTAAAAAAACATGGAAATTTCGTCGAGGAGAAGGTGCCTCTGGCAGCCGTGGCTTACCACAGAGAACTTTCAAACGAGATATAAATCCAGAGGTACGTGAGGAAATGTTTTTAACTGATTATAAGAAGTCTGAAATTCTTCAATAGTTTTGTTGGATAATCTTTATCTATATGTACATGAATATTATAATTTTAAATTTTGAAGAGATTTTAAAAGTATCTACATTTAGTGTTTAAATCTAAATGTAAAGAAATAAAGATGAACCACAATTAGATAAATTTCAAATTAAAATAATGATAGATTAATTTTTTATTATCATATTGTGCATCAATAATTCAAAACTTTGTTAAATTAATTTTACATTGAAATTTTATTAACTTAGTTTCCATCAATGTTTTAGAACCCACGCCTCTGGTACTTCTTATAAATTACCGAATTTGACGAAAGTATGGTAGCAGCCAGCCATGAATTAATTGAACGGAACCATGTCAGCTTCGTCCACGCGTTCGGTCCATTCATCTTTTTCCCGGGCGCTGGCTCATCCTTCGCCTTTAAACCAGTTTGACCGTCTTCCTGACGATCCTCTCACGGCTATTAGGTACTTCCTGCCCCATCCTGGGAACCAGACTCGTTTCTCTACTCACCCTTCGCGCTTTTCTCTTCTCCCGCCTCATTTTTTTATTCTTTACGCACTCCTCCGCATATTTCTCGATCGAGGGGTTGCTAGATCGGTTTCCAATTTTATCACAGGGAATAATAATATATGAACCGTGATGTTTTATAAATAAATTAAACGTTGCTGAAGGTTCGAGAACAGATTTGCGCGTTGCATTCATTTTGTAATGGATTTTGTAAAGATAGTTTATGATGAAATTCGATATGTATTCAGAGAGATTCAAGAAGGAAGTTTGAAATTTAGGATGGCTTGAAACCCGGACCTTTAATTTTTTCTCCGAGCTATTATACACTTTTTTTTGTTGCACATGCAAAAGTTAATTGAACAAACATTGGTTGAATATCTGCATGCAATTTAGGTTAAAATAAAAGAAATTAAATTATTTAAAATGTATAATCTATTATATTTATTTATAGGTTCTCTTTTAAAATGTTAAAAAAACACAATTCCAAATTTATTCATTTTTCAACAGTATCATGTTCTACTATTTCTTATCCATATCTTCGTATCAATTTTAAAATCTTGGAATAAATATTTTTTTATAAAAAGAATTTCAAATAATTAATCAAATTTTAATATTAAAAACAACGTTCACACTTTACAAGTTTGTCTAAACGATTAAAATCTTCAAAAATTAAAAAAAAGAAATAAATAAAAAATGTTAAGAAAGACTTTCTTAATGTCAACTTAATATTAAATAGACAGAATGTAAAAAAATTTCATGCAAAAGCTTTTTTATTGCATAGAGGAGAGGCCAAAGACGACGAATCTCCACCGGAAACCAAGTAGCGCGTGGCGCAAAGAGCGTAGGAGGGATCCAATTCAAAGTGAAGCCCTAGACATGTCTGCGGCCCGGGTCCATCATCATCACAGCAGGCCCAGCGTGATTGTGCCTACCACACCGCAACCTGGTAAGCTTCTGGTTGCTGGTTCCTAGTGTTCCACGCGAATTCGTTAGGCAAGAGGCTGGCTACCGTTGTTCTTGGCCTCGCAGGGGGCAGCCAAGAAGGGCTATTGTCTGGCGCGCATGGGGTGACTACGTGCTTTGACAATGTGGCGTGATGCACGTCGCGCAGATGCTTGGCTGTTGAATAGAGGAATACACGATTCACGTCGGCTGTTAGCTGAAATTCCTCTGTGCAAAACTGTAGAAGAGAAAAACGAGCCAATATATAACATTTTTTTTTTAAATTAAAATGAATTTGGAATTAAAGATAGGAAATAGTTTGTAAATAGATTTAAAAGTAAAAATATTTTTACAATTTAAAATTAAATCTAAATTTAAACTTCGTAATTCGATTTCATTATTTTTAATTTTTAATTAATTTTTAATAAAATATTATATAATAAAAGTAATTATATAAAATTTATTTAAAAGAAATATTTTATAGAATGATCATTAATATTTTATAATATTAGGAATAATGTCGTTTATCAATTATATTTATTTAAATTAATTTTATTAAAATTTTAAATTTTAAATTCTCTTCTTTGAAATATTTTATACTCTATTTTACAACAAATTTTTTCAATTAGATAATAAAAAATTATTATTATTATCAGGAACAACTATTGAAGACACGGCAGTGACGCCCACCCCATCGTTGACGCCGTCGGCAGCAGCAGGAGGCCAAAGAACTGGGATCAGAGTCGTAGGTGGTGTGAGTGATCCTGCAATAGACGAGCATTTCAAACGATCCTTAGGTCTGGAAGAGTACGCTGCAGTTTTCAACGCCACCTCTACGGATAAAGAAGCTGGTCTCAGTGGTATATTATTAAAAAAAAATATTTCTTTGTGAAAGAGAATTTTATTTAAAAAAAAATTTATATCTTTGAAATTTCATTTTTAGTGGATGATCATTTTGCAAAAGCTCTTGGAGAAACTTGGACGAGGCTGCAAGCCACTAGCAGAAACAAGGATTCAATCTAACTGCTGGACAGTTAACCAAAAGTTTGTATTATTATTGCGTCGTTGCCGTTTTCTTCATTGTAACATCTAATGTGATTTCATCACCTGTTTAATTAAAGCAATATGAAATTGCTATTAATATTTGTGCAAGACACATAAGTGGGAGCAAGCAACGAACTCTTTATTATTAATATTATTATCATTACTATTATTATTTGGCTCGCATGGGACGCAGAACGAAAGAATACCTAAGTGTCCTTCAACTGTCACAGATACTCTTAGGTGTTATTGAAGATATATCGTGACCTGTGCACGCAATTTTTTTAAAATCCTCCTTGCGACAATTGTATTCAAAATATTGTATATATAGACGCGTATTCTTTTAATCATGCCATCATCGTGGCCCTAGAGGTCTCAAATTATTTATTATACGATGTACCATACTGCCTCGCTAAATAGTAGATCTGTTCATTCTTTCTATCTTCTTTTTTGCTGTAGTAAGATATTAAAAAAAAATTGATACGTTTATATATCTGTACTATCCATTATATATCCTAATATTTTGATTTTTTTTATTTTATTTGATAATATAATAAAAGAAAAAATTAATTGTTAATTCTTTAATGAAAAAAAATGTATATATATTAATTAAGATAACAGAGAGAATTGTGAACAGAAGTATTTTATTTTTTTTAACTTTCAGACTAGAAATGGAAAATATTAGGATATCAAATTCGTTATAGATCAAATTATTGCAGCTATTGGAAGAAAGAGTATGATGAACGGAGCGACTTTGTAATTAATTATTATAATTCGTTTAAACGTATTACATATATGTATATATGTATTACGTATATAAATATATATATTGTATATATTATATATTGTATATTACAATACATATATATAGTTAATACGTAATTATAGAAACCGAGAATCTTTATAAAGAATGTAAAGGATAAGCGCAAAACCGTATGAACTGATCGTTGCACAAACTTGTAACACGTGTTCACTTCGTGTGTATCTATATATATATATAATAATATTATAGTATATATATATATTTATACACGTCATTAAAGAGAAGAGAAGAAAAGAATGAAAGAGGATACATAAGAAGATTATTGATAATATTTTTAATACCAATTTTGCTGTTGAAGATCCGTATCCTTCCTTCCTCAGTAGTTTCCCAATGGTTGATGATGAAGATTGCTAAGAAGAGTAGTACTGATTTCAAATGGTGCTAGGAGATTTAGCACAAACCCCAGCACGCATAGAAGTCAGTACCTCTATCTTCTTATTGTCTTTAAATTCTCTTCACTTCTTTTTATCTTCAAATCCTTGATTTTCAATATCTTCTAAGATTAAATGTTGTCATCCACAATTCTTAATGTAAAATTGAGATAAATGTTACACTTCAAGTAGAATCAAAAGGATCAATTTCTTTCAGAGCCGCACTTTCTTTGAATCTAAGAAATTTACAGAAGTTTTATATCCTCCACTGACAGGGGGGAAAACTACTAATGAAGAAAACGTCACTTTTCAAGACAAAAATATCCACTTAAAAATGTTTATACTCCAACTTCCATTTGTACAAATTAATCAAGTTAACTTAATCACTTTTATCCAACAATTAATATCATTGATTAACAATTCCACTCCACAAATGTATTTCTTCTAGTTCCAGTAACATAATGTACTCCTCCTTCAGAAAAGTATTTCCTGTTCGAGTTCTTCATTCAAAAAGTTTGAAGAAGTTGGAAGTTCTGATGACACTTTTTTTGGACGTAACGAGAAGAATGATGGGAAGAAAGAGTGAGGCTTTATGTGTCGTAGGTGGGCCCAGACCTAACCCAGACTGTCCCAAGAGCGCTCGGATGGCTTCCTATATGCAGGCAGCCTGTTCACTTGCCGTAAAGCAAAATGGTAACTTAATATTAGACTTGAATATAAGTACGGTAATCCCACACCAGAGTCCAAAGTAAGCCTACACCTACTCGGCCGGCCATCCCTGGACCTCAGTTCCCCCTTACGAACGCCCTCGAGCGTAATAATACGACGGGATACTAGATATCGGTACTCTCTGTGCTTCTAGGTGCAAATTGCGACCACCTATGCATCGTTGTCCCTGTTTCTCCATTTCCAGCCTGTACCTGCGTCTCTCTTCCTGTCAGCAAGCTTCTTCTAGCCTGTCGTTCGAGAAGACGACTCTGTTCTCTTATTGGTCAGACTTACTGAAAAGGCGACTACTTTGGATTATAACATCAATTTAAGTGGATCTTTAGGATCTTAAGATGGTTTTAAATTTAGGATATTTATTTGTTAAGAGATTGGTGAAAATGAAGAAATGTGCAATCTGGGTAGGATTTTCGTCTTTGAAAGAATGTTCGAAGATTCTTTTAATTCGTTAATGAAGATGGATGCTAATTATTTCAAGTTGTACTATTACAATTTCACATCTTGCAATGCATATACAAAGAAGAATGAAAAGACGAGGATCGACGTTTGTGTCTAAGACTAATTTTAAAATATCCAAGTAATCTAGCGATAAAGACAAATAATAGGTAAATTTATTTAGAAAGAAACTTCGTTCTTTCTACGTTCTTTTTGTCTTATTAATGATATATAACATCCGTGACGCGGAATTGCAGAAACACGATCCCGTTTTTCAATGTTTTTTTCAGACAAATGCCGCTGTGAGCGCTCCCCGAAGTGCGACGACCTTCGCGCTGCGAAGAACTAGGATAAACCAGTGGTCTACGTATCTCTTTGGACGTAGAGTAAGCTAATCCGGTTGCGGATCATGTTTGCAGCCCCTTTAAATGATACTGATACGCCTTAGTCGCGAAAGTCGCATGTTCCGAGATCCAGACAGTTTCTTCATCTGTTCATTTAGGAATTCTGATCGAACGAGTTTAACAATTTATCTAATTGTGCTTAAACAAGTTCATTTAAGTAGATGAAAAGATTAAGAATTCTTATCTTTTATAATATAAAAGAATATTATCTTTTTCAATGGTAAGCTTTTAATTATTATTATTATTATTATTATTATAATTATTATTATTTGTTTATGCCATGACATGTGTGCAGGATAATTAAAGATTTTGGATGAGATGCGATGATTATTCGACTATACTATTTTTGGAAATTTTGAGAATTTTATCCTCGATTTTATCTCTGAGGATAAAATGTAACTGAAAATAGGCCATTAATCCTAGGGCAGATGCTCGTCGAAGTTATTTCCCCATGTGCGCAGGTGTTTCTACGATTGTCCCTAGTAGTTCTACCCTCCTATTAGACATGAAACACACATTCCCCAGCATCAACTTTGTGATTCCATTCTTATTAAATGCTATAATTTCTCTCGGATACTATTTGGAAAAGGGAAATTACGAAGTTAAAATTGAATTATTAATATTCTAAAATATTTTCTTCGTCTATTTTGATGAAATTGAAAACTTTTAATAATATTTAGATTGAATTCTTAATAGAGAATCGTCAAAGATTCGGAAGAAAAAAATAATTTTTTTTTTATGCCAGAAAATGTTTAAAAATATAAATAACAAATTTTCGATGATAAAAATTAAAGGAAAAAAAAGAATTTATTGTTTAAAAGATTATTTTTATATTTTAACAAATAAGATATATGGTTTTTTAAAAAAAAGACACTCTATATTTTAAAGTAGAAAAGCGAATCGAATTCGTAACGCGCGCCGCTGTGTGCGCAAGGATTCTTCGACGGATGGATCAACAGTCACCCCATACAGATGGTCTCCCTCGTAGAAAGAGGCTCTACCATTGCGCTCTAGCCGAGATAGGTATCGATTCAAATTTCTATCTCGCCCTCGATCGAATCGCGTCCCAAAAATTTTTTATCGTTCCTTCTTTCGATTAACGTTCCCGAAAATTAATTAAAATTATTGCAATCGAATTTTATTTATTTATTTTTTTTTTTTTCAGAAGAAGAGGCGTAGTATAGTATCTAGTTTGATCTTATAATAGAATCGATAGTAGATCGACTAACTTTTCTATTCGGTTCGTGGCATATTACTATTTGTTTATTTTAAGTCCCAGGCGTATCTTGTTTCGGAACCAGACCCAGCTGACCGCAGCCTGGCATCATTTTCTCGTTTTATTCTCTTGCGTTACGCATCGACCTGGTCTCGGTGGTGCGAATTAAGCGAGAAAAATCGACGCCGTGAAGCGGATGCACGCAATTTCCAGAACGATCGATTCCGTTTTTTGGGATAATAATATTAATCTGACAATATTCCGGGCTAATTAAATTTATGTATTTTTATGCGATTCTATCTCTTCTTTTTAACTATTCGTGATAGAAATTTGGGGGAATCTTTTGTAAGCATAAGAATACATAAGAATTTTTTAATTTGTGAGAATGAATTAAGGATACGAAAAGAAATTTGATATAGTTGTTTTAACCGAAAAGGATAATTTTTTGAAGTTAAATCTTTCTAACAACAGGTAAGATTAAAAATAATTAACATTGTAATTGTGAAATTAATGGAATTAATGAGTGATGTTGATGATCGATGACTTTACAAAAATATATAATAATAATAGTTTTAGACGCGCCAAGAGATCACACGCTACTAGCCTTGCATCGAAATCCCCAAGCCACCCCAACGCGAAGAAAGAAGCGGTGCAGTTACATATTCCGCTTACGGATTTTTTTTTCTGTATATGAAATCGTTCAATTTTACATATAAAAAAATATAAATTCTAAAAATTAAAACTGAATTGAAAATAAAATTCGGATTAAAAGAATTAATTTACCGGAAGTAATTATCATTCTGATTAAAATAAATTTTATTTCAATTATATTTATTATTAATTTCGAAACTTTTTCAATATAAATTTCAAAAAATAAAATAAAAATTTCTCATAAAACAAATATATATATATATATATATATATATATATATATATATATATAT